CTAAAGAAATGAAGGAAGAATGCAGATAACAAATATCCTTTAATGCAATGAAACAAGTTCTGCATGTCAAACCACAGCAGCTACTTCCTGTTGATTCTAGTCTGAAGCTGAAGACTTTTCACCATAGTGAGTTCTGGTTTGGCTAATGTCATGTTCATGTTGTGAGAAAACGTTTGCTTGGTGCTCTGTGGTGAAGTGTGTCAGACTGCACTGAAAAGGGGGCCATCTCTGTGGTTGTGCACCTTTGACTTCAGACAAACACCTACCAATTTTATGCAATCAATTCTTGTTTCTCAGCAGAGGTGTAAAGAAATGGGAGAAAAACTGTGAAAACCTGCTGCAAGTTGCAGAAACTAAAACCTAATCTCTGCATAATCAAATGTGCAAAAAAAAAAAAAGGTTTTGCCACAGCTGTGTTACCTGAGCTATTTTTCTTCCACAGAGACTGACATAGCTGTAGTCTACTCAGCAGTGAGAACTAACAACATAATTTATGGACAAATAGACGTCACAGCAAAGAGGAAAGGAGGTACAGCTGCTGTTTATCTTAACTTTGGATTGAGACATATTTCTGGTCTTCATGCTAAGCTATGCTAACCACATCATGACTCAAACTCAGGATATTAAATGTCTTGTCATCATTTCAGCAAAATTATGTTTCATGTGTGCACCACTGCTTACTGTTACTTTCTGCTGCCTCACTGCTCTCTTACCCTGTGAACACAGCAAAGAGATGGAAACAGGGCTGGACTGGTAATCTGGCATCCCAGGCATTTTCCTGGTGGGCAGATGCACTTTTGGATCGATGGGTCAATTGAAAGCCTATTGCACATCATCTCTACATGCACTGACAGCAGTCTGTTTGTAAATTTTCATTACTGACACTGTATTGCCCAATCACATCACTGAACATCTTCGGGCCCTCCCTTACCTTTGCTGCTCATGCAGAAGACAGATTTTAGTGTGGAAGAAGTGAAGGAAAGTTAGAGCTGAAAAGCTAAGAGAGACGAAGTAACCAAAAATAAATGTAGCACTATGGGTCAAATTAGCTGACCAGATTAACTGGCTGTCAGGGCTGCTGCTGCACCATCAACAGGAGTACAAGCAACGACTAGTAGCAAGCCCTAACAGTCACATAAGGCTGTGACTCCATCCATTTTCTTAGCACCTGTTTAGTCCTGTGGGAGCTTATCTCAGCTGTAAGGCAAGAAGATGAAAAAAACTGGAAAGCAAATAATTCTGGTTGATAAAGCTCCACCCAGTAGTGAACAGAATGAATATTTCATGGTTCCTGTTCACACGTGTCACTGCTCGGCCTGTCTGACAAATATTCTGTGAGAAGCTGGGAGCAGCAAAAGCTTTGACTTTTAATGTCACTGAGTCTAGTTGATGCAAATTATTCAGCTCTGTGGGTTCCAGATTTGACTCTTGTGAATTTCAAGAAGCAGCTAAAGTGTGGGCGGTATAGAAGCTCTCTAACTTCGGTCTGAGGTGGTTCCCAGTAAAATCTGAAATGTGTGACACAAATAGGTTGAGATTGGAGGTCTTGACTGAATGACAAAGCCTGTAATCATGTTTCCTGTTGTTTGAACTGTGTGTGTTTGTGTTCAGACTTTAAAACTGAGAAAGAAGTCGTCCCAGAAGTAGTCCACTAGTCCAACCACTGACGTCCAGCTGCTGGTCTCTAACTGGCCCCTGCAGCACATCAATCCGGAGGGCAAATAATTTCCCCCAGGGATCAATAAAGTATTCTGATTTCTGATCCATGTATTGAAAATATTTGTATATGTTTTATGTCATTTTATTACTTATTTAGTTATTGAACATTTAACATTTTAACTATTAATATGTTTCGTGTTCTCAGTAACTTTACTATTGTATAAATGCAATTTAAGCTTGTTGGCTTTTCCTCCCATCGTAGTGATCTGGTTTCAGTCAAATTATTAAACTTTTGTTTTCCTCGTGTGGTTTGTGGGTTTCACCAAGGCGCAGATGGAAAATTTGACTTCTTCCGCTTTGGTTGTGGCTAACCAAAACTCACCTTATTTTACTGCAGAAAACAAAGAATAAGTATCAAACCACAACAGCGGCAACATTACATGAATGTAAACTGCACAGAGACGCTTCAGTGCTGAGTGTGTGTCAAGAGTTTTCATGTCTTTATTTCCTGTGTCAAACAGAAACCGCCAGCAGCAAAAGAAGTAAATACATCTAATACCAGCTTCTTATGAAGTCAAAATTGTCTTGTTTGTCTGCTGTTCAGACAACAACAATAACAACAACAGCATAAACAAATTTTCAACAACTTAACTTTAGACTTCAGAAAATAATTACAAGTATTTTATAACTGTGCTTCATTGTAGGTGCAAGGCATAGAGGAGAGTAAACCTGTCAGTAGACCACCATTGTTTTTATTTTTGTTTTTGCAAAGCATTATTTTATGTATTGTTTCTCCTTCTGGGACTCATTCAAAGCTCCTGAAGCTCATTTTCTAAGTATGTCTTTCGTGAAAAGATTATATAAAAACAATATGATATTTTGGAGCCATTGATTGCCAGCTTAACGCAGAGAATAGGGTTATAAAAACACATTTAATGTCAGTGTCTTCATCATATTATCCATTAGGCTGGTTTACGTCTTGTGATCCAGCACAAAGACCCACCTCTTGGATTATTTTAGAATTGCCCCTTATGGAGCTGGTGAGGAACAGTTTTTGGAAAAAGGTCTGAAATAGTGATACTCGTGGCTTTCAGATGTTTAGCACCCTCTGGAGGAAGATGGAGGATACTCACAAAAAGCTAAACTAGAGAAAAATCAGTCAGGGATGAAGAGAGAGCAATGGTCTGTGGATGCCGAACTATTCCCTTTCAGTGGGTTGTATTGTTGTTACCTCTTCTGTTCGCCTGTTGTTGCTTCGATTTGCAACACAGCAGCTGAAATGGACACAAAAGTTTTTACTTCTTAACTGGCCAAATTGATATCCCTGATAGCAGTGGTGTTCACTGTGGCGTGTTAATCAGCACACACAGGATGCTCAATTTTTACTTTCATTAACTGTTTCCCAGTATAACCAAAAATACAAATGAAATTTCCTATATGATCATCTCTGCGCACAAGTTCCATACACTACACACCAAACAGTGCCTGATATATAGTGTAAATACACTCTATAATGATACACTACAGAAGACCAAACCTGTTTTATCCCACAGCTCAGAAGTGGGTACCAAAGCCTTGGCAAAATGAACCAGCCACATAATGAACATATTAATAAACTTTGCATTTGTACAGAGTGTCTTAATAGATACATCCAAAGACAACATAGTAATCGCAATACTGGGAGAATGGTAAACGGCAAATACAAAATATCATATTGCAGACCTAAATTTGGACAATCAGTATTTTCCATATAGGCCTGCCATCTGTGGAACACACTTTCAGCCGAAATCACATCTATTACAGATATTAGTTCCTTTACATTGAAGGTAAATGGTTGGTTAAAGGTAAATCGGAGCTGTAGTCATTTTAATTCAACTTTTTTTTTAGATTGTTTATTAATTGCAGTTGTATTCATGTTGTATTTTGGTTTCATGAAAATGTACATTTTAACTTTGTGTATTGTGAATGTAAGTCCAACAGAGGACAATGGCTGGAAATTAGTGACAGCTATAAACTTTGTGCAGTACATCAGTTTTATGTTTTACACTTGGACTATGTTAAACTGCACTGTCCCTTTAAATAAAGAATTATTATTACACAAGCCCATTCCCTAAATGACATAAAAAGCTCAGGACTGTACTTTCCAGGGCAGTCTACCTAGAAATCCACTGTCAAGTCGGTTTGAAAGGTGCCTCTTGCTATGTGTTAGCTTAACCCCTGTGTTCTGGGCTTATGTTGTGCCCAACAGCGCAACTGCCGTCTCTTGCCACAAGGGAGCTTTCACGCACAGTCGACTGGCTTTCCAACAAGTATAATTGTGTGGATGCCCTCAAGGGCCCTCAAGCATTTAGCTGCAGCCTCCATAAAACCACAGCTGTTCTGGAAATCAAATATGTCATTTTAAAACACTTACTGACCTTCTGATGGGAGTGATGCAACTAAATAACCTCAGGATTATTTGAGGGATATTCTTGGATGTTTGATCTATTTGGACTGACTCCAGCTGAGATAAACTCTGCATCAATTATGTCGACAGCAAGATTAAAGTGATATGAAAAACAAGAACATTTACAGCCACAGAAAACACATGAATAGACTCAAAACAACTATAAAGTACTATTTTATGTAAAAAATGTATCAGCTCTTGAAATATTTCCACTGCAGTAACAACCAGAACACAAACAACACAAGTGTTCATGGGATGAAAAGTTCAATAAATGTTCACAGATCAGAGGAAACATCTGACTGTTACAGAAATCATTTCATCTTTGCTTTCATGACACTGTCAGAACATTCATTCAGTTATAGTTGCCAAATGAGCACCATCGGACTGATTATTGATCAGTTAGTGTCTGTAATTATGTAACAGCTGATCTGCACATGAGGATCAGTTTGTGGTTCAAACCTGACAGAACAAGTCTGACTTTAAAAACAGTGGCTGAACCTGTAACAAACCTGGGCACGGAACTCTGAAAACTGATGAGAAACAAACCATAAAAAAGTAAATTCCTGACATTAGTGGAAATAAAATTTTGCTTCAAACAAGTTCAATTGGAAACAGAATATGTTGTTTGGGAAAACACTGAAATGTATTTGTATTCATTTTAAGATATCTTAATTATTGTTTGAAAATATGAGCTCATGCCTGTCTCACAGAAATGTAAAGAATAATATGAGCGACTAACCACAAACACAAGTCTGACATTTTCTCTCCACAAACTAATTTAGCTGCCTCAGAACAACAATCAAATGATGAAGACCTGTGTGTGTTTGAAACCTCACATCATCAAAACTGAACTACTATTAATAATAATTGTCCAATACATCAGAAACCAATTATGCTCAGTGTTAGAAGTAAATACATAACAATAGATGTTAAAAACAGTAAAGGTGAAGGCTTTAACACTTTTGCAACATTATTCAGTCTCTTCTGTCAACTTCTCAGCCTGCTGATTAAAAATGTAAAAAAAAAGTGATCCTTCCTGGATGACTTTGGGTTTAATTTCTTAGGACTCTCCCACAGATGTAGGACAATGTGATTTATTTTTAACCTGCAACTTTTAATAATTGATTTTACAATTTTAATTCCTTTGTACTTTTGGGACATTAGCTTTTATTTAGCTGTGAAATCTCTGAAGCAACTCTTCTGGTTTTCTACTTTGACTCTAGTGTTTAAGTTTCTTCAGTGTGCTTTACTCCTGCCTTTCTGCCTAATGTAGGCTTCTCTTACCCAGCATCAACATGAAAGAAGCTCTGAGACATTTCAAACTTGCTGATGTTCATCAGGATGCTAGTTAAAATCTCGGTTCTGTCGTTTATGTTTTCTGTAGATCAGAAAACCAACAACAGCAGCAACAAGAAGCACAGCAGGAACAATCAGACCGACGATCAGTCCAACAGGTCCTCCTGCAGGTGAGAAACAGGTGTGAGGTGTCAGCTGTCAGGTAGGTGATGAGTGAAGAACAGAACAGAATCCATTTCCTCTTCAAACTGCTGTCAGACATTATCTACTGCACTCTGATCACATCACTCAGACCAGCTGCTTTCTACAAAGTCTCATCAACAACATCTTTAGAAACAAACATCAACAACCAGGAAGCAGCTTCACCTCTGATCACACACACACACTCAACTCTACTCACTCACCTGGAGGAACAACTTTCAGTGTGACGATACTGATGGGTTTCCATGAGTATGTTTCTCCCACAATGACACGACACTCGTATGTTCCAGTGTCATTAATCGTCACATCCTTCAGAATCAAAGACACGTCTCCATCCTTCATCTGTCTGTCCTGCAGATCCACCCGGTTCTTAAAAGATGGATGCTGGTTGTCTGGATCAAACTGCTCATCGCGGTACAAAAAGACATCATCTGACTTCAGGTCAGCTCTGCTCCACTCTACAACTATGATGTTGTTGTTGTTTGGAGCTCGACATGGTAGAGTGACAGCCTGTCCACTCTCAGCTGTGATGATTTTCTGGTCTGAAAGAGGAAACAACACAGAGCAGAGAGGATGAAGTCAGTTTTTGCTTATTGTACAACGGCCAATCAACTTGAGGATCAGAGAGATACCACTGAAATGCATGTTTTTTAATTGGTTTTGCATTTACCTCCATTTTACTTCCTTTTACTTCCTGCTCCAAATTTCCTAAATATTTTAATAAAAGTTTTATATTTTCAAATTGCATCCAAATCCTCCCTATAGCAATTTCATTTATACAAAATGTAAAAAATATTTATGAGAAGGATCCAGTTTACTTAATGAGCAAATAATTAATAGATGGAAAATGGAGCGAAAGCTCACTGGGAGCTTAAAATAAAACACTAAACATTTCTGAGCTGAGAAAACGGGATGTTTTGTGTGTGATTTCAAACTTCAGTAATAACACTTTAAACCGCAGCTTCATGTTGGAAGCAAACACATAGTAGCTCCGCAGAGCAGCTATTATCTGCAAGTAACCAGAAGAACAAGGCAACATAGATATTAAATACCTTACAAACTACAAATATTTCAGAGGCTAGCATGCCATTGTAACTTCCACATTCATACATGTCTTCCACTAATATTCCAGCTGTAATTAAGGCCGGGAAAACTTCAAGTAAAAATATGTCACTGAAAATAATCACATCGTGCCTTTGAAGGCACTGGGATCAGCACACATTCAAGCAGACACTCTACAAACAAGGTGGGTCTCACTACTAATAACAATTACTAATTAATAAGAGCTCTACAATAAAGCAAAGTACAAAGGAGTATTCGCACCACATTAAGAAAAAAAATATTTTGGGGGGAAATAAAGTCCAAAACATGAATTTAGTCTCCCATAATGTGCCTTGTGTGGATAAGTTAATGAACTCCTACTTCAGAATCAGTTTTAGTAACAACTGATGCAGTTTGGTAGAATAAAGAGGATATCTGTTTTTACAAAGTCTTATACACAAGGCATTTTGTAGAGGGTATAGCTACTGTGGCAGTTTGACATGAAACAACAACTTTAATCTTCACGTTTCAACTTTTTTTCAAAACATTTTTTTTTCATGTGGCTCTAATACTCAGTCACAGCAGCCATTTTTACCAGGGGTGATTCTAGTTTCAAACATTTAGGGGGGCTCGGTTCCCTGTCATTATGTCATGCACACACATGTCCAGCCTTTAAAGAAGTTAAAGAACTATTTGTAGCAAAGGAGATACGATGAGAAACATGTACAACATTCAGTCTCTTGATCACATAGAGGCAGTCCACCAAATCAATCTCTTGAAGTAGCATTATTAGCACTATTAAAATCATCCTTCTACTACACAGACCTGTACGCAAAGCAAACTTGCAATAGAATTACCTTCTATTAAGTTTTTGAATTCATACAAACCCTCCCTTTATTATAGAGACTGAGCACAGAGCATCATGAACCCCAATTTCACGAGTGGAAAACAGATTTGTAGTGACATCGATGTAGTGGCCGCCATCCTGTCCATGTTTAGAGAGATATGAATCCTGTTAAATGCTGCTATTCATGTTAGCATGCTCTGTTTAGGATGTTCACTTACATTTTCTTCAGTGTGTTACTGGAAAGCACACAAAGCATTCATGAAAGACATGAAAAACTACTTTGTGAAAAATGACTTGTTTTTCCAGCTAACTTCACCACCTGCTCCCTCATTCTTCCTGTTCTTGTACAACCTCTCTCTCTCCATACTCCTCACTCAACTAGAAACTAGAATATGACGAAAATATAATCTTATAATAATTATTTTATGCATGTTGTAAAGCTACAGCTTTACAATTTTGGAGAATTTGACTACATATCCACTCTTATCTGTTTCTTTTTGCTCTCTCCCTCCCTCTCTGTCCTCTCTCAGACTCTGTCCACCCAAATGTTTACTGTCACATAAACTCCATATCAGATTTTAAATTGAATACAGATTACTGCTGAACACAGAAAGGTAATGTTTTGTTTTTTTTCATTTTGACTTGCTGTTACTTGGGTCTGGAGCTGTACTTATATTTATATAGTACTATAAAAAAAAACAACCTAAGCCAAATTTGAAAAGAGGAATAAAAATTTTTAACAAACTAAAACAATGATGCACATGAGCTCCGTGGCTGGCAACCATGTGTAAAGATTGATATTCTGTTTACCCTTTTCCACACTCTCCCTCATCTCGCCATACTTACCCTGTTTGCTCTCTTGACTTTCTCATCACTGATTAGTTCTTGAGTTTCTGTCATTAATTAAACTTTAAGCCCAATTTTGTTTTCCCTTTCAGTGTTTAGCAGTCAGTGTTGATTTAAGTGAAATAAATCCAGACATACGGCAACTAACTGATAGTTGTTCTCTGTGCATTCTGGTGATAACAACTCTAAGATGTTGTTATCACCACCAGTGCTGTTACAGTGAGCCCGCACAGAGGCGTTGCTGCTTCAGCTTGTCATTAATAGGCTAATACGACTGCAGCAGAAAGAAGATGCAGAATGAATTTCATGACACAGTGATGCAGATTTAAAACACTTTAACAGAAATATACTAAAAGTTCAAACGGTTGTGATAAACGTTGCTGTTACTTACAAAGTATCTGTTTATTTTTATTTGTTCTGTAAATAGCATCAAAAAAGTTAGCTGATATAATTTAAATCACTCGATATTAGCTAGTTTAAATCTTTAAATCCCCTAGTCTGCTGGTATTGTTAAATAGGAGGTTCAAAGGGAAGTTAAAACGTCACAACGCGGAAGCGCAACAATTTGTGACGCACTTGCTAAACTGCAAGACTTAATAAAATCAAGACAAAAAATCGGACAAAAAAATTAATCGTAAATTTTAGCGGCACATTTATTCGGCTAATTAACTCCTTGTGTCTCAGTGTCAAAAGAAGAAACTACACACAAACACGTTTCCAGCGTAACAAACATAACCGAGTTGAGTGGCCAAAAAAACTACCTCAGCCGTTCCGCTCTGCACCTACAACAGAGAAGAAAGGCTTTTTGGTTTGAAGTTAAAGACAAATCTCACCTGCACGGATTGAAACGAGGAGGCAGACTGACAGCACATTCCTGACGAGCGATACAGACGTTGCAGCGGACATTTCAGATGTAGGTCTGCGGGACGGGACACCGGAACTTTATGTGGATAACAAAAAATATATTGTCCCCTTGTCACAACTAAATTAATTGTAAGTTTTGAAATAGAGCAAAAAACACACTGACCACAATGGATCCGTTTCGGTTACCTGGGCTTTAAATATACGCTGATGACGAGCACAGATCTGAGATCAGTGTTACATTTATAAGCTACGAGGACGAGCCTGGGAATCAAGCAGGGTAGAATTAAAAGCTGCTTTACTTTACGAGAAGAACATCTTTGAATAAATATCCGAGAATAGAAATAACAGTTCCATTCAGTTATGTTCAAGTTATGGCCAAAATAATCACTTCTGTAGTAGCGGCCGGTAATAAACCAGTCCGCATAAAGGAACCGTGCTCTCTAATGAATTCAGCACAGACTTTACATCGTACAGGTAACAGGGAGACACAACAAGTTATCCATCTAACTATACTCTAACTCTAAAACTTTACCAACTCCGCTTTACTCTTATTTCACGACAGCACCCTCTAGTGGTGCAATATGGTACGATCATTACAGGACACAACATCTCTCTCTTTATGAAAAGAGTTCACCAAATAGCGTACAGAAATAAAGTAATTCACTGTTTAGCAAGTCACACATACACTTGTGAACTTAAATGCTGCAATAGTTATAACATCAGATTACTACAACTAGCAAAGCTTAGTTATAACATCAGATTACTACAACTAGCAAAGCTTAATAAGCCTGAAACTATATTGCACTCCTACGTAAAATGAAAAGAAATTATTATTCCAGTTTTTCCATGACAATTTTTTCTTAGTGCATTGGTGGCAGAAAATCA